ACAAGAACATACATTGGGGAAAGTACACCCTTCTCAATAGATAGTGCTGGGAAAATTGGATAGCCATATGCAGAAAAATGAAACTGGATCCCTGTTTCTCACCATATATAAAAAGCAACTCAAGATGGATTAAAGATTTAAACATCAGCCCCCAAACTATAAAAGCATTGTAATAAAACCTAGAGAAAACTTTTCTGGACATTGGTCTAGGTGAAAAAAAAAATTATCACTGAGACCTCAAAAGCACAGGCAATAAAACCAAAAATAGACAAATGGGACTTAATTAATCCAAAAAGTTTCTGCACAGCAAAAGAAATAATGAACAGAGTCAAGAGACAACTTGTAGAATGGGAGAAAATATTTGTAAACTATTTATCTGAGAGGATGCTGATATCTAGAATGTACAAGGAACACAAACAACTCAACAAAAATAACAAAAAATAATCTCATTGAAAAGTGAGCAAAGCACATGAATAGACACTTCTCAAAAGAAGACATGCAAATGTTCAAGAGGTGCATGAAAAAATGCTCAACATCAGCAATCCTCAGAGAAATGCAATTTAAATCCACAATGAGATATCATCTTACCCCAGTCAGAAGAGCTATTATTAAAAAAGATAAAACATAACAAACACCAGCAAAAATGTGGAGAAAAGGGACCTCTTATGCACTTTTGGTGGGAATGTAAATTAGCACAACCTCTATGGAAAACAGTGTAGAAATTTCTCAAATAATGAAAAATAGAACTACCATTTTTTTTTTTTTTTGAGACAGAGTCTCGCTTTGTTGCCCAGGGCTAGAGTGAGTGCCATGGCGTCAGCCTAGCTCACAGCAACCTCAGACTCCTGGGCTCAAGCGATCCTCTTGCCTCAGCCTCCCGAGTAGCTGGGACTACAGGCATGCGCCACCATGCCCGGCTAATTTTTTCTATATATATTAGTTGGCCAATTAATTTCTTTCTATTTATAGTAGAGACGAGGTCTCGCTCTTGCTCAGGCTGGTTTCGAACTCCTGACCTTGAGCAATCCGCCCGTCTCGGCCTCCCAGAGAGCCAGGATTACAGGCGTGAGCCACCACGCCCGGCCAAGAACTACCATTTAATCCAGCAATCCCACTACTTGGTATCTACTCCTCAAAAAGGAAATCAATATATCAAGAAGATACCTGTGCTTGCATGTTTATTGTAGCACTATTCACAATAGCAAAAATATGGAGTCAACCTAAGTGTCCATCAACATTGGAATAGATAAAGAAAATGTGGTATGTTTACACAACAAAATACTATTTAGCCATAAAGAGGATGAAATCATGTCTTTTGCCAGCAACATAGATGGAAATAGAAGCCATTATCTTTTTCTTTTTTCTTTTTTTTTTGAGACAGAGTCTCCCTCTGTTGCCCGGGCTAGAGTTCGGTGGCATCAGCCTCACTCACAGCAACCTCCATCTCCTGAGCAATCCTTCTGCCTCAGCCTCCTGAGTAGCTGGGACTACAGGCATGCATCACCATGCCTGGCTAATTTTTTCTATATATTTTTAGTTGGCCAATTAATTTCTTTCTATTTTTAGTAGAGACAGGGTCTCGCTCTTGCTCAGGCTGGTTTCAAACCCCTGACCTTGAGCCATCCTCCCGCCTTGGCCTTCCAGAGTGCTGGGATTACAGGCGTGAGCCACTGTGCCCAGTTGAGGCCATTATCCAATGTGAAACAAACCAGGCACAGAACGTCAAATATCACATGATGCTAAAAAAGAGTGCTAAAAAATGTGTATACATGGACTCATAGAGTGGAATGGTAAGAAATGGAAACTCAGAAAGGCGAAAGATATGGGTGATGAGAAATTAGTTAATAGGTACAATGTATGTTCTTTGAGTGTCGGATACCCTAAAATTCCTAACTTGATCACTACACAATCTATGCATGTAACAGAATTGCACATATACCCCATACATTTGTACAAATAGAAAATAAATTTATGTGCACTTATATATGTGATAATGGTATAAAATATCTGCTTGGCAATGATAAACATAAAATTTAGAGTAGTGGTCACTTTGCAGAAAGCTGGGATTAGGCTTTAAAAAATCTATAATGTTTTATTTCTCACCAAAATTAGATTAAATATGGCAAAGTGTTATGACTTGATAAAGACAGTAGTATATATATAAGTATACCTTTTGAACATTGGAAATACTTTGCAAATAAATTAGTACTATTTTAGAAGGTTTAAAAACCACTTAAACAAGAATTTTAACATTAAATATGATAGATTTCTGCCTATCCCTCCTCACAGGTATACCAGGAAGAGTTAATCTATAGAAATTGTTCTTGTGCTTGGAGATTAGGCTAGGCCAACAATCCATAAATATTCTCAAGCTCATTTTAACAGTTTGTCCTAGTGTGTTGGGTTTATAATCATTGTAGCAGAGGGAGGAAGGTGTGATAGGTAAATTGAGATTACGAGGTGACAAAAGATGATCTGCTGCAAATTAAAAATACTATACTATATATTTGAAATTTGCTAAGAGTGCAGATCTTAAGCCTCCTTACCAAAATAGGAAAAAAAAAGGTAATTGTGTAAGGTGATGGATGTGTTAATTAACATGCTTGTGATAATCACGTCACAAAATACACATATATGAAATCATCACTTCGTACATTTTAAATGTGCACAATTTTATTTGTCAATTATTTTTGGATAAAGTAGAAAAAAAGAGAATATAGAAGAAGGCACCAACTGAGGCTAAACTGGTTTAAAAAAGAAAAAAAAAAAAGATGATCTGATTCATTGAAATCGTCTGAAATGTGAAATTTAATTCCACATTCTGCCCATAATGAAGCCAGGACATTGTTGAGAGGGACACAGTGATAAAAGCTGCAGTTCTGGCACAGATAAAAAGACTCCTATGACATATAGTTTAGAAGCAGTGACAGTTTCCTTTCAGAGAGTACTTATGTACTAGGCAGGGTACTAGGTAAATTGCATTTTTAATTCATAAATAATATTTTAATATCTATTATGCAGAAGAGGAAATTGAGACCCATCTGTCCACCGTCACCCAGACGTTGAATGGCAGCATCAGTAATCAAACCCAGGGTTGTTTGATTACAAATGAATGCTCTTTCATCGTTCCACAGGACTGCTAACACATTATGAATAAATAGGTATATTTTTATGTCCAGAGTGGCTAGTCCTGTCTTTCTAGAATGTATATTTCTGGGCCTCATATTATCCACAATTTTTCCATCAAATAAACTTACTTTTAAGACACTTTGGGCATTATTTTCACTCCTCAACCCCAAAAATATTTCTCTTATATGGGAGAGCTTCTCTCACTAAACAAGTAGAATAGCTTTTATATTGATTGACCATCTCTGTTATTACATTTTCCATTCAACTCATGAATAAGTGCCTTATTCCATTTTCTAGGACTCTCGAACTCTAAACTAAAAAAAAAAAAGAAAAAAAAAAGGAAGAAGAAACAAAGGAAGAAAGGAAGGAAAAAAAGGAAATAAGAAAAAAAATGTGAAAACTTCCAATTGCTTTTTTTTCCCACTTATTGTTCTTTGGCTTGCCAATGATTTTAGCTAATCATATGCCTTTACTCAAAATTACTTTTACAGGGAACATCTCCAAATCTATAACCAGTTACTGAATTTATCAAACCATGGGGGTGGCAGGGAGAAGATAAGGGTAGAAGAGAAACATATGCAAACATGCACACGGCGCATATATATTTTAAAGACTTATCCAGGACCACACCCATTTTGTCACTTAGCCATTCTGCAAAAGAGCTCCACTCATCTTGCAAAAATTAGATTGAAAAAAAAAAAATCCATCAACAATCTTATTTCTTCACTGATAATCACTTGAAAAGTTCTGTTGACATTATATGGTTATATTCTCAGAGGAATTCTCCCCCTCTCCAAGATTAATTTTCATTTTTCTCAGACGTATTTTTTTGCATAAACCCAAGCAAAACAACATTCTAGATGCTCATGGAAAATTCTCTTTTTCCCTTTGCAAATATTATGCTGAAATCTGTCATTCACTCTATGTCCCAAATCAACAAATGGTAAATATTTCAATATAGTAGTCTGGTATATTTTGGTATCTTCCTCTCTAAATTCCCTTTAAAGAAAGATTATGCCCTTCACTTAACTAAAGATATCTGCAAAGGAACTAAAAGCAGTCTGGAGAAATAAATTAAAAGTGTCTTTGTTCTCCTCTATTGTCTCATACAAGGACCTTTGTACTTAAGTAATGCTGTGGAAAATGTCTTTGTGTTCTATCAATAATACATAGAGGCTCAGTTTATTTCATTTTATGTTGTTTTTACCTCTGCTTGGCAAACAAGACTCTCGACTTTCTCATTCAAATCAAACTGTAGAATGCTAATAAAACAAATCCAAACTAATAAAGCCCATTTCCTTTATATTAATCCTCTTAAAGTTATCAGGGACACACATTCCTACATATGAATAGTACAATCAGGCACAAAGTAGGAAGATAAAATATGGATAAAGGGGCTATTAACATACAAGACTTTTAAGACAAAAACATAATGACAAAGGTTGTCCTGAACTTGATGATTATCTAAGACATCTCGGGTCTACGGGAAACATCTAATACTGTTTAACCCTCACAACCTCTGCGTGAGCATCATTTCAGCATTGATAAAAAGGATTTTTCTTAAGTTTTATTTTTACATTAATCAGCTTGGGTTGAAAAAGATTTCAGCCTGCAAACCACAAATTTGATAACTGTTTTTCTAAGCGTTTAGGAAGACCGAACCATTCTAGAGACTCTTTGCTTTTCACAAAGAAGAATTTCCTTTAACATCTAGTTTAGTTAATTATAGCAGTCAGGGTGTGATTTCTGTTTATATCCCTCCGGTTGAATCTGCTCTGGCTGGGTTTGGGTCAGAGCTATTTCTAGGAAATGACTGCTACTTTTTCACAAACTAAAACTTCTTTACATTTTTCTTCTCTCTATTTTTCCAGCTTGATCTCTTCGCTACTTTGATATGACAACAGGTGACCCCATGTGCGTATCTATAACCAGGCATTTGGGCATGATATAGGGTGAGTATTCTCATTGAATTATTAAAGCCACTATATTAGTTAAGACTCATCAGTTCCAAGTAACAGCACTCAAGCTCGGTTTAAAGCAAACCCAACCAATCAAACAAATAAAAAGAAAAATAAAGGAAAATGCATGGTGAGAATACAGCGGCGTCCCATGGATTCTTGAGCAAGAAATCTGTTGGGTTTTCGAAAGCACTAGATTGGGAATGCAAAGGTACCCTGGAACCCACAGGGACTCTGGCCACCTCTCGTGGCTGATCGATTCCATGACTTCAATGTCTTCTCCCTGGAGAGACAGCTTTGTCTGTCATATAATGCAGACAGAAGATGGTCCCCAACAACTCCCAAATGTTATGGGTAACAGTTATTTTCTCATGGTGGAATGAACTTTCTCTTGCCCCCAGTTCTAGATTCCCAGGAAAGGAGTCTAGTGGAAGGCAAATTTGGTGCAAACTCCTACCCTTCATGGGTCAGTTGTCCAGTTGGCCGGGACTGAGAGACTGGGCCTCATTGTACGAGACCCATAGGAGTGTTGGATCAGGGAGGCGGTTAAGAGCGTTTGCTTAAAGACTGGTACATGCTCTATGAAGTTTCCCCTCCACTGTGATGAAGAAAGAATAAATTTGCACATGTGCTAGGGTAGCGGGCTGAGACGAGAGACACTCCTACTGGCACATACAGTCTTCTGAAGCTCCGAAATGGCCCAGCTGCCACCTTGGGATGCTGCCCAAACAATGGTAGTTCCCGAAGTAGCTCTTAGTTCCTCCAAAAGTGGGATCTGGTCAGCATGGCTTCTCCGGTTTGATGCCCTGTCGTACCAGGGTCGAACTCTGCCTGGATCTAAGATGTCAGCTTGGCATCCCTCCAGTGGGGGATGATGAGGCATTCTAGACGTGATTTTTCTAGAGCCTTGTGAACAGAGCAGTCCAGAGAACTTTATTCTAGAAACTGAAATTTAATACACCTCAAAGGAGATTTTTTTGTGTGTGTGTGTGATTTTTTTTTTTTTTTTTTTTTTTTTTGAGACAGAGTCTCGCTTTGTTGCCCAGGCTAGTGTGAGTGCCGTGGCGTCAGCCTAGCTCACAGCAACCTCAAACTCCTGGCTCAAGCAATCCTCCTGCCTCAGCCTCCCAAGTAGCTGGGACTACAGGCATTCGCCACCATGCCCGGCTAATTTTTTATATATATTAGTTGGCCAATTAATTTCTTTCTATTTATAGTAGAGACGGGGTCTCACTCTTGCTCAGGCTGGTTTCGAACTCCTGACCTCGAGCAATCCGCCCGCCTCGGCCTCCCAGAGTGCTAGGATTACAGGCGTGAGCCACCGCGCCCGGCCGTAAGGAGATTTTTTTTAAAGAAAAAATTTCACACATGTTACATCAGTGTGTCCAAATCAAATAATCATACACAATAGAAACAAAAAAATAAATAAATAAATAAAATAAAAAGAGAATTGGATTTTTTAGCATTGTTTTTTAGCATTTAGGATTTTTTGCATTGTTCCACATGCAAGCAAGGCCTGACCCCCCCCAATTTACAGACCTCTTTCCTTTTTCTGCTAAAAGAATAAAAAAAATACTCTGGACTATGGTATCAAAATTCATAAATTTTGTACTAACAAAAATTAATCAAAAAGTCAAAGTTTGATTATTTCTTATGCTGTGATTTCATCCTTTCCCAATGAAAAGGGGGCATTAAGAACCGACGAGGGTATATACCGGTGGGAGGTATTGGCCGTGTACTTCAAAGTGACCGATAAATACGGACATGCACTTCTGCTCAGATATGTTTTCTTCTTGATTCTTTTTCAAGGGAGAGGTTAGCTCCTATGCCCATACACGAGCTAACTCATATTGCCCCTACACCGAAAGCAGGGAAGGTACCATTCATTGGCTTTGACGTGCAACAAGCATTAGAAGTGGTGAGATTTTCCTTTTTGCTCTTCTCTTGCACAGCTTCCAATAGGCTACACTTTAATTCTGTGTAATAGCCGTAATGGGAAAGAGGCATGAGCCAAGGGAGGTATCCTATAATTTACTAAAATGCAAATTTGTTTTGTGTGCACATATACACTCTACATTTTCCTTCCTAGGTTTATTAGATTTTATAATGTTTTTGTAATCACCCATTTATTTTGTGTTATTCCTGGACTGTATCATCTGTCTTCCTACAAGACTGTGTGTTCCTGAGGACAGGGACTTGGTACATCTTGATGTTTAGTAACAGGTGAAACCAAGAGCCCAGGGCAGTGCCTGGCAATACATAAGGGGTAGGAATCTAACTCTGGAGGCTGACTGCAGGGTTTGAATCTCAGCTGTGGGACCTCGGGTAAACTGCATAACCTCCCTGTGCCTCAGTTTCTCTTTGATAAAACAGAGATACTTTCTACATGATGAAGATGCTAGAAGAATTAAAATGAGTCATATACAAGCACTTAGAAACAGTGCTGGCATATAGTAAGTGCTATATAAGTGTCTGTCAAATAGATAACAGACCCTCAACTGTTTGTTAAATGAATGTTTAACAAATTCTGCAGAGAAGGGAATGAGAGAGGCATTTGTCATTTTGCAAGATCTGAGGCCTTGTATAGGTATATGGCTTTATGTTTTGCCCCCAAAACCCTATCAGCTCTTTTTTTTGCATATTATTTTTACATAAATTTAAATCCAGTATTCTTTTTTCCCTCCAAAGTGGCTCAAGGTGCCCTACTATGCACAGGTCTTAATAATTTGTCTGTTTGATGCTGCCCGTGTGTGGGGAATCCAAGTCCCTCTATTGAGAGAGAAAAACATTGGGATTTTTTTTTCAATTACCAATTCTCTCTAGACATGAGAAAAATCATGATGCCTTAGTAAATTTAATTTTAGTTTCCTCATAAAAAGAACACATGTTCATTATAGAAAAATTTAAAAAAAATGTTCATAGAGAAATAAAACAAATCATCCATAGTCATCCTACACTGAGAAAATCACTGTTCTGTCAAAAATGTTATGATATATTATATCCCAGGTTATAAATAAAAAAGCACAGTCACCTAAAAATTGAAATTATAGTAAACATTTTATTCTAGTATATTCTTCACTTAAACCATGAACACCACCTCCCCATGTCACTAAATAGTCTTCAATATGAGAATTTTTATATAGTTGTGTATTTTCCATCACATGGATAATTTATTTTATGACTCCAAGATTTTTGGATATGTAGAATGCTTGTGATCTTTTTCTATTATAATGATGCTGTGATCAGCATCTTCACAAGAGGACAAAGGAGCTTTACCAGAAAATGCTAAGCAAAAAAAAAAGATCTCCACAGATGAGAAACCCTAGCGTTGATATCAACGTTGAAGCCCAAGGAACATTTATTTCTGATTCCAGACTTTTCAGTAAGTTTACATTTAACTTTTTAACCTTCATATTCTTGCAAAATATTTTTCAAAATGCCCCAAATAAGTTCACAGCGCCAGGATCACCATTTTTGCTCAAGAAATACCTGCAGAAAGATCGACTCCTATTTGCGTTCTCTGTGAAAAGTTTTAGAGTCAAATCCATAAAGCAAGCTCCAGAAAGAGAGGGAAATTTGTAGACCAAGATACTGGAGCAAAGCTGAAAACTATGCAAAAACTAAGAGGGGCAAATGCATGGATGCGAAATGTTAATTTTTGGTAGATGCTTAATAATCAAGAGATTTGAGTGTTAGTTTAATCAACACACTCGGCTGCTGCCACCCCTCCACTCTCCTCTAACCCCCAACGCCTCCCTCCCTACCCCACCCTACTCTGCTTGCTTGCTTCCTACTGAGAAAAATGGGACAAACAAGGAGAGAAATTAACAGGTCTGCATTACCCCATGCAGTTGCTTACCAACCTCTGCACACACATCTTTGCCAATGTGCCTGTTAGCACAGCTGAATTTCCCCTGTTCTTATGCAAGGCCACCCCTTCACAAGTCTATGAGAATTCCTACATCACTCAAGCCATACTCCCTTCTGTCTTCCATGTCGGCAACTTTTCCTCTCTACTGATCGTCTCATCTGCAGACAAACATACGACGCGCTGTTATTTCTCCCATATTAAAAAAAAAAAACACACAACAACCCCCCTAAACACCCTTCTCATGACCATTCTGGCTCTACTCACTGCTGCCCTATCTCTTTGCAACCTGACCCAGCTAATCTCCTTAAAGAGTTGCTTATACTTGCTGTCTCTGACTCCCTTCTTCCTATTCTCTTCTAAGCTAACTCCATTCCCATTTCTTCTCTTGCTGCCCCACCAAGATTGCTCAAAGATATGCTGCCACGGTCATTCTGTGGTCCTCATGTTATGTAACCCATCAGCAGCATTTGATGGGGTTGATCAGTGCTACATTTCTCTATTTGGTCTCTGGGCCATCACGCTTTCTTGATTTTCCTTTTACTCCATGGGTTTCTCTTTCTCAGAGGCCTTATGGGTCCTCTTCTTCTCCCCAAGCTCTGAATGCTGGCGTGCCCCAGGGCTCAGCCCTTGGCTTTGTCATTTCCCTCTCACCTATTCCGTATGGTGTGAAATAACAGATCCCTCTCTTGAACTTGAGACTCTTATATCCAATGACCTATTAGCACCTCCACTTGAATACCTAATGACACTGCAACATTAACATGGCCCAAACTGAACTCCAAGACCACCTGACCCCTCCATCACCAAAGCCGTTCCGCTCTCAGACTTCTTAATCAATGGCCACATCATTCACCTACTTGCTTAGCACCTACTTTCTTGTGCATGCCTACTTTCTTGTGTATGCCATTCAACACAAAATATTGGCTTGACCTGCAAAATATATTCAGAATTGGACCATGTCCCATTAACCTTTACCACCTCCATAAATCTGTCCATGCCACCAGTATCCCATGCTTGGATCCACGCAGCAGCCCCCTGACTGTTCTTCCTGCCAGAGTGGTCCCTTGGCATGTGAACCACATCATGTCATTCCTGTGCTTAAAATTTGCTCTGAGTTTCACTCCAAGTAACATCAAAATTCTTACTTTGGCTACAAAGACCTACATAATCTGATTCCCCCAGTAACTTTCTAAGCTTCTCCTTGTTCCCTCTGTTCCAGCCACCCTGGTCTCCTTCCTGTTCCTGAAACATGGTTGGCTTGATCCTGCCAGAGGGACTTTTGCAGTGGCTGTTCCTTACCTGCTTCTCAATTCTCCTATGTGAATTCTTGGCTACCTGCTCATCATTTGTTCAAAACTTCTTTTCCATGTGGTAAGGTGGTTTCCATTCCCCTCCTTATTACGGATTCTGTCCCTGGCACTTCCACCCTCTCTGTCCCTTGCTTTCTCATCCCCTACTATCATGCACTATTTTTGTACTAGTTATCAATTTCTAGCGTGCCATATAACTTTTTTATTATGCTCATTGTTTATTGTCCAACTCCACCTCTAGAATATAGATGCCATGAAGCAGAGATCTTTGTTTTGTTCACTGTTGCATCTTCATGCCTAACGCAGGGTCCATTTGTACAACGGACCCATGAATGAATGGATGCTCACTCCTCTCCATGATCTTTGCACTAACTGTGCCTTTTGTCTGGAATATTCTTTGCTTCCTGTCACATGGTGACTCCTTCTGGTCATTTGGACTTCAAAGACCTCAAAGGGTTTTCCCTATTAACACAATACGAAAGGGTCACTGATTACTTACCATCACTCATCCTATTTTCATAGTTCTTATTGCTATCTATTATTTTCTTATTTGTCTACTTGTTTTTTATATATTCCTTGCCCCCTCCCTCACTCTTTCTTATTCACCTCTGAATCCCTGGGACCTGGCCTGCATCATACATCATCAAAACATTGCCTGGCATACATCAGGCACTCACTTATTGCACGAAGAAGTATCTTACAGGTAGTATATACCACCTAGAAGGCATTTCACAAATTGTGTGCCAACAGCAGCATCTGATGTAGAACTCTTTCCCACTATAGGTTAAAGGCCCCCCACCCTCCGCCTGCATAAGTGTTCTGCAAATTTAGCAACCAGAAGAATGCTAAACAAGAGGATAAAATACGATATTACCACCAAAATTTCGGTACTTGGCCCACAGCCAAATGAAGAACGAGGACAAGTGGTTTGAGGAAAAGGAAAGAGGAGTTTAGCAAATGAGGAGGAGGCAGACTCTTATCTAAGTATCAACGTCTTATCTATAAGCAGAAATACAGAGCTTATAAAAGGAGTTTTCAGCTTCAGGCTAGGCTGTTTCACTATAGCACCTCTGGTGACATGTCACCTCTGGTGACAATGATTGCCTGACCCCCACCCACACAACTCCATTGAGCCATCTCCTGCAGTACAAAGAAAACAAAGAGCACCCCCCTCGCCCTCTGATTACTGGCCTTGGGCAGGGATGCAGGTTTTAATTCCCAAAAATGGTGAGGGGATTTTTAAAGAGATAGCTTGTAAAACATTTTACCCTTTCTCAGGCCGTTACCTATGTTGACTATAAAAAATATGACTATTTTTTAACAGACTGTAGCCATCATGATTTATCTAACTTAGTCACAATCTGCCGACCTTCAGACATGTGGTTCTAACCCATGGAATGTTGCAAATCTTGCACTGTGTTACTCTCCTGTTTCACAGGTTGTCTATTACACTGACAAGTAAATATATATATATATATATATATTTTTTTTTTTTTGCTTGACATTTCCTTAACTGCTTGTAAACATACTTGTTTTTTGTCCCAGTTTATCTGAACAGACATCTAGAGCATTGCAATCCATTGCTTCGATGGATTGCTTCTCAATCCACGTTTCCATGCCTGTGTACACTTGGGCAGAAAAGGGATGGCCCTTTTGTCTATGCAGAGGGGAAGCCACGGAGGAACGGATGCTGACGGCATCCTACGCCTGCCCAGCTCTCCTTGGAGTTGCGCTGTGGGCACAAACGCTCATTTCGGAGCTAAGTATGTCATGCAGCAAACACAGGAAGCCTCATGGGCGTCAATAAACCTTCACCGGTTATGAACTCAGAGAAGAGGACGCTGAGATATTAAAAGCAGAACATGTCTTCCATTTGATGACGATGCACACCCACCTGTTTTTTGTGGGTTTCACTATTATCCCTTGCACCCTAAAAGTATAACAAAGCTCTGAGCATCCCGGCCAGCTGCAAACACAGTCTGTCAACTGGGTGACTTGGGAGACATGGCAAGTTCTCAGAGCCTTTTGCTGAATCATCCATTAGGCTGATGTTGCTGATGGAACCCCCACCCCCTTCAGCCCTCCAAGTTAAATGAGCAGCTAATGGGGCAGAAGGCAGGGGTGTCACCTAAACGGCCCACATTAGCTTAGCTTTCCCATGACCTCAAGCCTGTTTCCCGAGCTGCTCCATTTTCTCCAGGCTTGTTCCAAGTGTGGCATTATCATCTCTGACACCCCCATGCCAGTAGCCCCAGTGCTGTGTTCTCTTCACTTCCCTGTGTTCTCTTAACCTGCATGCACCTCCTCTAATTTTCTCTGGGATTGTAGCAAGCAGCACGGTGCACACGTGGGTAGAACTGGACGCGTCTCCTGGGAGGAAGCATCCTTTGTTAAAATCAGTGTTGCATGACATACCTGAAGCATCAGGGCCGGGGGTGTAGCCCGCTATTGGGCAGATGAGGAAGGATAACAGGGAGAATCCTCCCCAGGGAGGTAACAGGCAAAGCTGGGGAAAATGGGGTGGGGGTGCTAGGGGTGGGGTCCCATAAGGAGTGGCAGGAAACCCAGAATTTTCGTGGGACACTCGATGATTGCAGGGGAGCTGGCTGACCAGGTAAGAGACTCACTGCAATGGCAGGCTCAGGAGAAAACGGCTGTGGGTGCATGATGGGACCATTAACAGCCACGCGGGGAGCGGGGGGAGTTGGTGGCTATATCCCTAAAACAACAGCAACCCGGTCAAGGCATGGCCTTTAGGCTAAGCTGCCTCAAAATGAACAGGAATAAGAGGGAGGGGCAGATATAGTGTGCGCAGTTGGGTTTTACAGAAGACTATGTTAAGAAAAGCCATTGTGATTCAGGTCAGCCTTGAGGACCAGGGACGCCATGTGTCTCAAGCCTGTCCACTGAAACGTGGTCCTGGGAGTTGTCAGGACTATGGGAAAGGACAATCTCTCTTTTCCATTGGAGATAATGCTGGAAGCTGGAAGCCCATGGCCACCATGGCGGGGGAGTGGCACAGGAAGAGAGTTTGCCGGAAAGGGATGCCAACACAGAGAAGGAGGATGGAAACAGCTGAAGAAATAATTCACACACCTGCATCCAGTTTTGCCTTTGCACTTGTACATCAAGCGAGGCAACGAACCCCTATTGCCTAAGCCAGCTTGAGTTGGGTTCCTGTCACTTGCAGGCAGGAGCGCCTGACAAATAATCAATATCAGCTAACACATAGTGCTTACGACGTAGGAATCAGACTAAACCCCTTTATAGACTAACTCACATAATCCTCTAAGAAGACTATGAGGCTGATGCTGTTATATGCCCATTTTATAGGTGGGAAAACTACGTGGTCCTAAGTCAATGGCGGGTTCAGAATTCGAACTCAAGCTGTCCATTTCAGAATCGGTGCCCTTCACCGCCATGTCCCAAAAGTCTGAGCATGAATCAAATTGGAGGGGAACCTCCATGGTTTCCAGAGTCAGGAGTCTGGGCCCAGCTCAACGAGGGTTAGAGGATTTCTCTGGGCTCTCACTGCAAGAGAATGCAACCTCCTGGCGGGCAAGGACTGACTGCCTTTGATTCTTTAAACCCCAGTGTCTGGCATGTACTTGGCCCATGATTGTACAGTCAAGACGGATGCTAAACTAAAACGGAAGGCAGGATTCTTTGGAAACAGGACTGTAGTTGGCCTATAGGATAGGAAATAAAGGTCTAGAGCCAAGAACCTCCCCAAATAAAAGTGTGCACATGATTGCACAAATGAGCAGTCTCCCCAAGGCAGAGACCCATAGGAATAATTGCATGTAGGACTGAATAATGAATCGCAATCCACCTTCACAAACTCGGAATTTTTTTTTTTTTTTTTTGTCTTTTTTACAATAGCTAGGGCTGCTGCTTAAGCCATAAAGGAAATCGATTTTCTGAACTCTCTTGGGGTCCTCCGCAGGCTCCAACTCTACCCTCTGTGTGTGCGGCAAGTTCTATCCACTTTGTGCCTCTGCCCGGTGGGGGATGAGCGTGGGGTCTGCTGTCTGTCCCCCGCCGGCCCCTCCTCCTTTCAAATGTCCGTTCTGATCAGATGGACAAGTCAGGCTTTGCCCAATTAGTCCACTTTAAGTAGCTTACCCTGTACTTTATTAAAAGCAAAATCCACATTGGCTTGACAAGATTAGAGGAAAATATAAAAATAAATTACTGTATTAAAATTAATTAAATGAAAAGCTGTACCTAATACCAGGAAATGATGGACTGCACGGGAGCAGTGAAGCCCTTAGTTCAACAAATGATTTTTTTTTTTAAATCCTAAAAACTCCCAACCCAGGGCTGAATTAAATATTCTATACCGAATGCAAAAGCGAAAAGATGTTAATTTTGGCTTTTTTGCACAAAGTGAGTAAAAAGTTCATTCTGCTCTTTGCTCTGCAGGAAAATTCTTTTGATTACACCACCATGCCACAGGCTGGGTATCATAAATAACACCACCTTGTACTTAGAGAATGATTTGGGCGGACGATCTCTGTGAATTTTGGAGATAATCACATGAGCGCAAAAATTAATTGTACCAAGGAAGACATCAAAAAAAGACCACAGGTTCAACTGCTCAGTTTAACATTTATTGAGCACCTATTAGGAGCCAAGTGATGGGCATACAAACAGGTGAGGAAACTAGGGACAAGGGGAGAGGTGACCAGGATTAGACTACGCCACAAAATGGCAAACACTTTGAATTTTCTGTACCCTGTCCTAATCACTTTTAAAGCTTAGCACTTGACAACGTGAAATTCCTTCATTTCTTCATTAACAACAGAAGGAAACTGGAGTAGGATGTTAATGAGTATGGAATCAGCTGGGAAAAATGAAGTCCAAAGTGGAGTATGATGGACAGAGTTAGATGTTTTTAGTCTTCATTTGTATTTTGAATCTCTGATACTGATAGGATTTGGTGTTCGTCCCCTCCAAATCGCCTGTTGAATTTGGTCCCCAGTGTTGGATGTGGGGCCATTTTGGTCTTGGAGGTGGATCCCCCATGAAAGTCTTGGTGTCCTCCTGCTGTCATGAGTGGGTTCCTGCTTTAGTAGTTCATGGGACAAATGGTTGTTTAAAAGAGCCTGGCACCTCCTCCTCTCTCTTTTGCCCCTTCTCTCACTGTGTGACATGCCTGTCCCCCTTCACCTTCGCCCTTGATTGGAAGCTCCTTGAAGCTCTCACCAAAGGCAGGTGCTGGTGCCATGTTTCTTGTACAATCTGCAGAACTGGGAGCCAAATAAACCCCTTTTCTTATAAATTACCCAGACCCAGGTATTCCTTTATAGCAAAGCAAGATGGACTCAGGCAGATACTATATTCCTTTTAGAAATCGATACGCATTTTGTCATTTTTCTTGCCTACGTGTGTGTTGAGGAGGAGGGAACTGGGTGAGAGCTCAGAGCTGGAGCTAAAGTAGTCGAGTAGTAACGTAGGTCTTCTTAGCTGCAGTTTCCTCTTCTAAAGTGAGTGCTCACCAATGCCACCACACCGCAGGAAGCAAATGGAAAAGTGAGTGGTGCTTGGGACCAACAATGATCCGGTTGCCTGGGTGGCCCCCCAGCTGTGCTACTTGGGAGCCCAGTGGCAGAGGACCAAGGACTCAACCTCTCTGGGCCTCTGTTTCCTTTTCTGTTAAAAGGGGGTAAGCAAAGCTCTTCTGAGTGGCTGTGCATATGAATGGGTCAGTCCATCGAAAACTTCCAGAACAATGCGTGGCACATAGTGAAGACTTGGTACACGTTAGGTTCCCTGGTGACCTGGTCCTCAATAGAATTCCAGGACATTTCCATTTCCCCTTCCCCCAAAGAGACTCAGTTATTCTTCAGTCTACCTTCTTCCCAGCCCCTGCCTTATTTTTCCTTCTAGTACGTATCACAGGAGTATATACTACTATCTTCCCGTCCACGCCCTGTAGTATCTATAACAACCCTTCTCTTTTCGTAAACGTTTATCTGCTGCCACTAGGACCTAATCTCAGTGAGGGAAGAGCCTGGTGTGTCCTGCTGCCTGATTTATATGCCCGGATTCTGGAATAGTGCCTGGCACACAGTAGGCCCTCAATAAATATTATTGGTATGAGTGAATAAGCTAGTCACTCTCAAGGGCTCCAGTACTCTGATAATTCTAATACTTCCATAAATCAGACCTGCAGTTCTTTCTTCCTTGAATCTGAACCTATCATGAAAATGCTGAATGTGTCTGGGTGCCTGATATGGATTTGAAGAGACCCAAAATGACTAAGTCTACCAGGATTCATAATGGACAGTGCTTCTCTTGTGTACATGGTACCTTGAAATTTCATCGGAACATTTTCCTACCATCCCATGCCCCTAAGAAATGATTATAAGCTAGCCACGTGGGCCCACAAATTGTGTGTGGACACCCCTGAGCCCACACTCTTGGGCATCAAAAATTAGCTCAGAGTGGCTGCACCCCATTCACATGGGCTATTTGTCTCCAGTTTGCTGAAGTCCCCGCCCCTCCTTAATGCCTTCCTGCAATTGTGAGCCAGCGTCAGTTGCAATTTATCATTGCAATTGTGAAATATTTCCTAAGGTTGGAAATCTCTTAAACAAAAGTAGGAAAACAGAAGAATTGGTGCTTTAAGAAAATGGGAGAAAGATTTTTTTTTTAAAAAAAAAGGAAATAGAGACTGTTTTGATATGTTTGCTATGGAACCACCCAACAGGCTTGACTCTTAATGTTACCTGGCCCCTCTTGGCGTCTGGCAGAGCTAGCTCCTCTGCGTTAGGAAGAGGGCCCTGCAGATTGGATCACTCAGCCACCTTGAGTTTCTGCTAAATTGAGGGATATTTAGGTTTTCTTTTCTTTCCTTGCTGTTGTTTGGGTGTCAACTTATTTTGTGACATTTAACGTTATGCAAGCAATGCTTTGAGTAGTATTTCTGCAGGATAATAATTGACAAAAAAAAAAATGGTGAGAAATTGCTGCTCCTCTAGGATCAGAAATGATCATCTGATTTGAACGCATTAGAGCTGCAGTCCCCAGCCCTGGACACCCTTACTGGTCCATGGCCTTAGGGACTGGGCCTCAGAGCTCCGTACCCTCCCCCATTCACCCCACCTGTGGAAAAATTGTCTTCCATGAAACTTAGGAAGGTGGGTGTGGCCTCACAGCAGGAGGTGAGCAGGGGGGCACAAGTGAAGAAGTTTCATCTGTATTTACAGCCGTACCCGGTCACTCGCATCACCACCTGAGCTCCATGCCCCGCCCCGCCCCACCCCCCATCCATGGAAAAATTGTCTTCCACGAAAGTCATCCCTGGTGCCAGAAAGGTTGGGGACCACTGCATTAGAGCATTTTCTTTCTGATCATATTTATATACTACAATGTGTTTCAATCAGTCTCTATCAGTAATAGGTACTATAGGAAAAATGCACTCATGGTTAAGTAAGATTAGAAAACACAGGATGAAATAAAGTTCCTATTATGAATTATCCTTGCTTTCTTTTTTATTTAACATAAAAATAACTCAAAAAACAAAAAAACAGACATTGGTAATTTCCAAAGGACTGAGGGCTCAGGGGACACAGAGGATTTGGTGTGTATTATTTCTAAACTTATTTTATTTGCTTATAGACACCCTATTTTTTTAAAAAGTTACAAAAGATCAGTTGGGCAAGAACTATGGTTTTTGATCTTTACTCTGCAAAGAATATATTTCCTACATTTTGTAGATCAACTTTTTTTTTTTTTTTTTTTGGAGACAGTCTTGCTCTCCAACCTCAAACTCCTGGGCTCAAGTGATCCTCCTGCCTCAGCCTCCTGAGTAGCTAGGACTACAGGCGTGTGCCATGATGCCCAGCTAATTTTTCTATTTTTAGTAGAGTTAGGGTCCTTGCTCTTGTTCAGGTTGGTCTCGAACTCCTGAGCTCAAGCAATTCTCCTGCCTTGGCCTCCCAGAGTGCTAGGATTACAGGTGTGAGTCACTGCACCTGGCCCCATTTTGTACATCAACTTTAACTGGGTCCATGAAGATAATAGTACAAAGATATCACTTACATTCTAGATTTCTAAAGATAGCACTTACATGAACATGCTAGATAGACTTTAAAAAATAACCACTAATATCTCACATTTTTTAACATCTTATCCCTGCAAGGCATTATACCAAGTTCTCTCTGAATATTTTGTCTTGATCTTTACAACTCCCCCAAGGCAGGTAAGTATTATCCCCATTTTACAGATGTGGAAATCAAGTCATTAAGACATTAAATAATTTGCTTGAGATCCCATTTGGAAGGAGTGAAGTTAAACTATCAGGAAAATACTTCATATCTGTGTGTTTTTTGGACATTTGTTCCATCTAGTGATGTAAAGAAATAGCTACCATCTATTTAAATGCTTATTATGAGTCAGACACATATGGATTTTATATGTAATTTAATCCTCTATGAACTAAATGCTCCTATAATTCTTTGTACAGACTAGGAATTAAGGTTGAGAGAAGGCAGGTAACTGATCACACGGTAAGTTGTGGGGCCAAGTCTGCCCATCTGGGATGCTGATGTCTATGCACTTAACTGCTATTCCAGATGCTGCAGAGATATGCCTTGAACATCTGTTCCTAACGCAGTTCCCTGAAAAACACTGACGTGTAACTGGAGTTTAAAAGCACAGAAGGAAATAGAAGGATGCTTACCTAACGCATCAAAACTGCATCACTAAGACGAACTGAAAAAAAATTCCAATCTTTTAACAACCACAGTGAAGGTTTTTCCTAGGCTTTCAACATGTTTGCATGTCTATTTTATTCTTTATGCATAAAAACTACTGACTGCTAGATTTTCCCTTTTTTAAAAAAAAAAAATAACTTGTCAATGAATTGGGTGTGAGAAATCACACAACCAACTAGCTGGCCACGAATGCTTCCCCAACACGTGACTGCGGCCACTGGTAGGGCATGGGCATCCCTGTTCTGGGTGACATCTTCCTCCCACTGGAAGAGGGTGTCACAGCTAGAAGGTGAGCTCACCTTGCAACAAAGAGGTGGACAGTTTCTTCCAGAACGTAACAGAGGCCTGGAGGAAGGCGCACTTGGAGAGAAAAATGGGAAGTGAACGCCAGAGCTTTACAAAGAGCCCCCAAAGTAGGCCCTTGTAAAAGCGAATAATGAGCTGCATAGACTAGTTCCTTCATGCTGAGCTCAGCACACATCTTAAAACACTAAGATCGTCGAGGAAGCAGGTACTCGGAAACCCTTTCATCTTAATTAAAGTTATGTGGGCTACGGAATACTTTTCCTTTATATTAAGCTCTTATTCCTGCGGAGAAATTTCTATTTGTTTTTTATCTAATTTGAGCTTCAAGGTTAATCTCGGTTTAAGACTTTCACTCACTGGGAGAGACGGTCCATCCGGTTGGCGCTGATCCGTGTATATGCGGGCACCCTCCAGGCCCCTGCTGAGCTCCAAAACCTCTCGCTGGCTGTGCATTCTTCACCCTGCTCCTTTGCACAGACAGAGCCGGCTGTGGATCTGGGAAGGATGTACAGAGTGGGCAGGATTTGGAGAAAGGTCACAAAGCTTTCTATTTTAGGGAGCCACATGCTGCCATCCTTAAATGTGGAGTTTCTGATAAAACTTGCTCCGTGATGTGCAGCCCAAGATTTGCTTGGTGGGGAAAAGCAAGAGGAAGGAGGAGACATGGGAGACAAAGAGAGGGAACACGTTTCATTCCGGAAAGAGGAGGTTTTCCTAGACTTTGCAACAACTGAGGGATTGGATTGCCTGGCATGCCATGCTCCCTAATTTTCTCCAATAAATATATGTTGGGTTGAATAGGCCCGATGATGGCAATGACTTGTGCTCTTGGTTTCAAAAACAAAGCGAAAAGCATAAATAAGTTGCAGAGGATGTAACTTAGGATCTCATTGGAGTTGCTTAGCATTTTTTGTTTGAGTGCCTGCCTTTCCTACAAAATGGTAAGGTATCTTAATCAACATTATGTCATAAGTGCTTGAGAAATAATATATGAAGAAAGTTGATGGGATAAAGGTATTTCTGATGGATCTGGTCTCAGCCACATCTTGAAACCATGAACACGACAGACATAATTATCTTACCATGAGGATGATCTTTCCACCTGTAGCTGGATGTAACCTCAAAACCCTTAACAATGACCTTCAGTTACCAGAACCAAGCAATCAATGTTGGGATGAGAGAGAAAGCCTATTTATCACTCTGGGCCCCAAATTTCACTTTTCCAAAGGTATTGAAAAAAAATATTTGGTCTTTATGTAATAGATACCATTCACTTTCCTACTGAAGTTGACCTCATTCTCTTTCCCTCCTCCCAATTTTATCCACTAGCTGGCTTAGAATCCCATTAGTAGTTTTTTGTATTGCCTCCAGGAGTTTATGTGGCATAAGTCTATGAAACTTCTGGTAGACCACCGACCCAGGAGAAGACAGAATTCTGACTAAGGCATTCACATTTATACCATCATGAGTCAGAATGCTACTGAAAGGGTTTCTGTAGTTAGTGCATGAAGCAAATCAGTTTTCACTGTAGAGATCTGGGATTGTTGAACATACAACGATGTACTTTGAGGCAGGAAACTCGGATTTATGTTCTTGAATGATCTTGAACAAATTATCACACAATTAGTGCCTTGGCTTTCCCCATTTATGAGGGGAATGGGCCATATGCTTACTAAGATCTGTTCTCGGGCCTGTTTCATCTCCAATAGGGCAGTGTGAGGAGGAGTTACAGGTGTGATCATATTAATATAAATAGAAATAAAGATATTTTATATGATCAGTTTCTCATTCATTCTTTGAAGGCCAGAGTGAGCCAAAGAGAAAAGAAGGGGAAACTCAGAGCAGGAGGAAGACAGGAGAAGTTGGTTCCTCAAGTACTTTCCGGTGGCATGGAAGACAGGCAGGCCCTTTTGTACTAAAAAAAAAAATCAATATATCTGCCCTTCTTGCATTTCTGAGACAGAATCTAGACACCAAAAAGAGAGACAGGGGATTCCAGGGAATGCTGACATGTGGCTCACCTTGGTGAAAGTTATGCTTGTAGGAAATAACTTTTTTTAAAGAACTTATATATATATATATATATTCAAATCTTTTATATATTTTTTTCATATTGAGTGAGTGGAATACAAACCTTGCAATAGCAACTTTACCACATTTGGAGTCTACTTTATAACTTTGTAATTATTTTTGGTTAAACCTTTTTGAAGAGGAAATTCATGTAAGTGGTTCAAAATTAACAAAAAAGATAGATTACTAACAAGGTTACTTCAGTTTCTTGTGTGTTCTTGAACATAAAAAATAATTCCACTCCTTTTAAAACATATACATGCATGCATGTGCACACACACATATTTTCTTTCTCTCTTTTAAACTTTTTTTTTTCATTTGATATGCCTTGGGATCTTTCTAAATTAGTACATGAGAAGTTTCTTACTTTACTTTTAAAATTTTAATTATTGACATAGCGTTTTATTATATAGATGAACATTCATTATATATAGCGTTTTATATATAGATTCTTTGTTCATTTATTTTTTAAGAGACAGGGTGGGTCTCGCTATTTTGCCCAGGCTGGATTTGAACTCCGGGCTAAAGTGATCCTCTTGCCTCAGGCTCCTGAGTGGTTGGAACACGCACACGTGCCAACACGCTTGGCTTCCATTCTTTATTTAATTGGTCCTATTAATGGCCATTCAAGTTGTTTCTAATTTTTTGCTATCACAAATAATGTTGCAATGAATATTCTTATTTATATATCATTTTCCACATGTGCAACTTTATCTGTGGGAGAAATTCCAAAAAGGAAAATAAATTAGATCGAAGGATACATGCATTTATAACTTTAGTAGGTATTGCCAAGAGTGTTTCCGTAGGGGTTGTATGAATGGCCAATCTCACCAGCAATGTATGGGATTGCCTATTTCTCCTGGCTTTCTAACAGTAACTTTGCAAAAGTCCTTTTAACATACATATACAAAACTGTCACAAATCTTCACAAACTGAATATATCCTCTAAACAGCAGCTAGGTTACGAATCAGAACATTTTCATAACCCCAGAGGCCTGCTCCCGTACCAGCCTCTACCTCCCCCTCCCCCCCTCCAATGGGTCTTTCATTCTGACCTCCAATAGCATCAATAATTTTCCGACAGTTGGTAAATTTTTAAATGGTAAGAGCACATTAATAGTGCTTTACCCTACAAATATTGCTTTGCCAGACATACTACGTATCTTGGCTCTAAGTACGAAAGATTCAGTTGAACACCTTCCCACCTGTCACCTGCCTTTTTGCCAAATGATTCCAACAAACAACTTCCCATTCTTTCACAAGGACATTTGAGATAATATCCAACCCTGCCCATGATGTCTGGGTTCATCTATTGTAGCAAATCATTTTTGTCTTCTACAAATTGGAAGACTGAGGTCATACAAAATGACTTTTGCCAAATTTGGCTTCTGACTTAAACTACAGAGATATGGAGCCAAAGGAATTCATTTTAGCAGGAGAACTCTAGGGGAAACCCAAAGAAATAGTCAACCATCCTCTAGAGTATCTTCAACTGAACCTGAACAAGAGCAACTGCGGTGTGAGGGAGACAGGCCGTATATAATAATGTGTTGTAGGCCAGCCAGATAATTAAAGGTTTTCAGTAGGAACCCAAATCAAACGTCAGAGAACCCACACTCTCTATCACAGGTGTTGATTTGCAATCAAGAAGCTTTATACAGGCCTGGTGTGATGGCTCACGCCTGTAATCCTAGCACTCTGGGAGGCCGAGGCAGGAGGCTCGCTCAAGGTCAGGAGTTCGAAACCAGCCTGAGCAAGAGCGAGACCCCATCTCTACTAAAAATAGAAAGAAATTAATTGGCCAACTAAAAATATGTAGAAAAAATTAGCCAGGCATGATGGCACATGTCTGTAGTCCCAGCTACTCGGGAGGCTGAGGCAGGAGGATTGCTTGAGCCCAGGAGTTTGAGGTTGCTGTGAGCCAAGCTGATGCCACGGCACTCACTCTAGCCTGGGTAACAGAGTGAGACTCTGTCTCAAAAAACAAACAAACAAACAAAAAATCCAAAACAAAAACAAAAACAAAAACAAAAGCTTCAGACATAGATATCTCTATTTAGCCTCTTCTGGAGTGACCAGCAACAGGAATTTAAGAATCTTTAGAGATTCTCCAAAGGAACAGAGGGGAACCCTGCTGATGATAAGTGAAATGCTGCTATATACTGTCTCCTCTATAATTTTCACACTGCTAATACCACACGTGCCTATAGGCTTCATAACTTCTCTATGAATATCCTGCTCTGGTCTTGGAATTCCTACCTTTCTTTATATTTCCAGTTCTCTTTTATCCTTCTTCTATCTTAGTCAAGAGTCAACTGAATTGGTGATGTGATAAGTCATGAAGGAATTACAAGAATTTCACCAAAAAAAAACCAAAACAAAACCAGAAACCGTGAGAATCTGCCTATTTTATTTCCCTGAAGACCTGCCTGACTTATTAGTTAATGTGGAAAAACTGGAATGTATGGTCTTTAGATTATACTAATTGTATTTATTATAACTACTTGGTTCCCAGAAAGATGTTAAATGGCTTACAAAGACAGCAAGATAAAGTAAGACAGAAATAAGAAAGATCAAGAAAAGCAATCACAGGGGTAGTGGCATTAAATGAAATGAAGAAAGAGATTTGAACTACAAATGTTTATCATTAAGTCTTTTGCACACTGTGCATGGCAAATGACTCTAAAATTCTTGGAAGTCAATGTTAGGTCATTAACTATGAAATATCTGCTTTCAAATCAAAAGTGTAGTTTATTATATCCCAAACAAGAAGCAGTGCAATTAAAGTGTGCACCTACACTATCTACATAGTGTTGCTATCTTAACAGTAGCTTGTTTATGCTGGCAGCAAAGAAGCCTGGGGAATGAATGACAATGAAATCACGAAAGGTATTTTCCACAGCTCAGAATTGAATATTTTTTCTTGCAAGAAGTGGTCCAAAGGTCCAGGTGGTTCAAGGTCTGGCAAATACAGTGGATGACAGAGAGTTTCCAAGACCAGCCTCTGCAGTTGGAGCAGTGTTGTTTGAGGAATGTTGTTTGTGCGACATGTGGTCAAGTGTTGTCTTGCAAGAGGATTGGCCTGTCTCTATTGACCCATCTCAGCT